ATCTTGGTAAAAGCCTCCATTTTGAAATTTTATTAACTTGGGCCATATGTAATATTGTTCGACGCATCCAGCACTACTAACATTCCAAATTTGAACTTGTATAAGTGATATTTGTTAATTTTGATATTTTGAGACGGCCATCTTGGAAAAAGCCGCCATATTGAAATTTCAAGGTGGGTCCATAGATAATATTTTTTGAAATATCTAGCACTACTGTCATGGCCAAATTTTGCCTTAAATTTGACCTTATATAAGTGATACATGTTGATTTTGATATTTTATGGCGGCCATCTTGGAAAAAGCCGCCATATTGAAATTGCAAGGTGGGTCCATAGCTAATATTGTTTGAAACACCCAGAAATACTACCATGCCAATTTAGATGCTTTAATCATCAAACCCACAATTTTGTCACCGATCTGCCAGACTAAAAGTAGATATACTGTGATTGTACTGTATGACGATATATATAATAGGTCGTCATATTAGAATAGAAGATATTTTTTGAATGTTTGCGTTTTAAATCGATATATATTCAACAATGTAGTTAAATGACTGTTTTGGTTACGCATATGTTCCATTTTTTGTAACTAGAATGCCGTCCTCTTTTCTTCGAATAACCGAATAAGACGATTCAGGAATTCTGTTGAATTTTACAAATGACGATTGCTTTATGCAAGTACTGAACTCTAATATTATATGAAAGAGGTGATGCGCAATGGATTGCAAATTGTCCGTCACAGAATATGTCCATTGACTACATTTTTGAATATATATCGATTTAAAACGCAAACATTCAAAAAATATCTTCTATTTGAATCGGTGTAGTTTCTGATATATCTGACAATAATCCAAGGATTATTCTATAACACATAGTTACTAAGTAATATCATGTGACTTTTCCCATGTAACATCTTTATCAACCCGAGACACCAATATAATCACAAGAGCTCTGCTCGTGGAATTATATTTGTTGAGTGTTGATACTTATAGGTTTCATAACGAGCGAGAATTGAATATCGCTTGATATCAACTCGAGTTAATTAATTTCAATGTAATAATAAACGAGCCTTGGGCTAGTTTATTTTTACTATTTAAATTAAATAGTGAGAGTTGATATCAAGCGATATTCAATTCTCGCTCGTTATGAAACCTATAAGTATCAACAGTATTGTTTGCAATAAATTACCGTAATTTCCCAGCGAAATGAAAAACCGATAATTTCACATGTGAAATAAACTCGATAATTTCACTCCTCTGATGTCATACAATAAAAGGTGTTATTTCTTATGCATCAAAAATACTGCAATCTGATTGGTTAATTACCCCGGTGTAAATAACACCCCATCCTTGTTCACCCCGGGATAAATAAAATTTTGCCAAAAAATAAAAAATTTGCCAAAATAAAGAAAAAAAAAATAAAATGTAAAAAAAAAAAAAAAATAAATAAATAAAATGTCAAAAAAAAAATATATATATATAAAATAAAAAAATAAATAAAATTGAGGACAAAAATTAAAAAATTTTGTTTTCCCGAAAATTCAAAAGAACAAAATTTTTTCTGAATTTCCCAAAAATAAAGAAAAAAGTATTTGACAATACGCAGCAACATCAACGTTGAAAAAATGTTACACTGGAAATTTTTCATTAGCATTTTTCAATGTTACATCCCGGTTTAAAAATGAGTAAAGAAATTGTTCATTAGAAATAAATTCGTTATCTTGGTGTAATCAGGGGTGTACGGAATTTTACACCGTTGTTGAAAATTCATACACCCATTCGGTGCGCCTCAGGGTGTATGAATTTTCAACAACGGTGTAAAATTCCGTACACCCCTGATTTCACCAAGATAACTAATATTGTTTAGACGTTGTCGGTGACGTTACATCAGAACAAATTGTGAATGCGTAGAAAAGGTTAGGTCGCTTGCATTTTCTATTTTATTTCCATTAAAAAGCTCATTGTCAATGTAGTAAAAAGAATAATTAATCAAAGAATTCAATTATCGAAAAATATTCAACTCGTGACCGAACAACACTGACAATTAACTCATGCGCTACGAGCATTCGGAAATTAATGTGCTGTTTAGTCACTCGTTAAATATTTTTCTATATCTGAATTTTTTGTGTTGAATTAAAAATTCCGCGAACCGTTGATCTAGTCTTTTGCGCATACCAGTATGACGTCATATGTCCTTTTCCGTCGTCAAAATTTAACATCAAAACATTTTGCACGCTTCAGAATGTAAAATAAAATCACAAAAAGAAGATTTCGAGGTGAACAATGTGAGTGTTTTGTATATTATTGAATAAATTACATATGTCCGTTGTCATGGACGAAATGTACATCGTCTTAACCTTTGAACGTTATCAATGACTACTGAATACTAAATGGAAATGTCGTAATATCGTCTCATGGTGATGGATAAGCCAATCAAATTACGCATTTTTCGTATCACTTTTTCGTATCACACTCCGAGCAGTGTGATACGAGAAATATCTCGTGCAAGAAATATATAACAAGCTACAATCATATGAGAATTTTTATTATAATATTATACCATTTGAAAGAAGATGTTTTCACGTAAGTCGTGAGATGGCGTAATACAGACAAGGTAATATACCAGGGTTGTCCGTAAAGTTCGCGGACAAGCTGAAGTCTGCGTAAAAATAGCATTTCAGGTAAATTCTTTTTGCATATTTGTAATCCTGAACTATATCCTAGTTCGGTTATATCAATATTTGTCCAATTTTAAGGTAGATTCATGGTATACCGCCATCTTGGATTGTACAATCCCAGTACAAAATCTGTCTAGTTATTTGACCAAATCTGCAAATGTGAAGAAAGATTTGCAATTTATTGGTTAGACTGTTTATTTATTTAAAGGAAACTTGGTGATTTATTGTATAACTCAAAATATTTAAACAAATATCAAATTTTGTGTTTTTAGAATCAATTTTTTCAAATCAGCAGTTTAAGGGGAGATAACTCTTTTAGTAAAAAATATAAACTGGACTGATAGGGAAATTTCTAATTTTTACTTGTAGCAAGAAAACAAGTTCGGTGACACCATTTTTTCTTTTTATTTTCTTAAAACATATTATAAAACCTATCTTCTCACAATTTATTTCAAAATCCTATCTCATAGATTTTTTTTTATGCACACAAATGTGTTTTTTCATGAACAATCTAACCAAATTTAGGCAATTTTCAACGACTCATAGGTTGGAAAATAGCACGGTGACCCATACTTTTTATTATATTTTTGAAAAAAGCATAGTAAAATCTTCATTTTGGCAAAGTATAAGAAAATTCTATCTCAAGAAATATATACCTATGATCTACCTTTAAATGCGAAATAATAACACTTACTTCATATAAATATAAGCAATAGGGACCCGGAGCACGGCGAAAATATAACATAACATGCAGGCTGGTGTTTTCATATTTTTGTTATTTTAAGTTTCAAAATCCGCCAAAAAATACATGAAACTTACATTGTGACGTCGACAATAGTCTTGACGTTACACCTGCCAAATGTGAATGGTCAAAATTTCGAAATGGTGGAGAAATCTCGATTTGAAGCATTGAATCCAGAATCGGCATCACTAAAAAAAAGGAAATTTACGGAAAAGGTGGAGCAGCGGGCGGTTATAAAGTTTTGTGTAGACATCGAAAAATGCCAACAGAAACACACAAATTCTTTAAACAGTCTGAGAAACATAGCAAAGTTAGTCGTTCATTGGTATTCAAGTGGCACAAAAGGTTTGGGGACGGAAGAGACAATTTGGAGGACGATAAGCGGGAAGGTAGGCCATCTTTCAGGGAATCAGATGCGATAAAAGATGAAGTTCTTAACGTTATCAACAGTGACCAGCGACTAACAGTTCGCGAAGTTGCAGACAAATGGGACATTTCTAGGACTACAGCGCATCACATTTTAGCAAATGATTTAAATATGAATCGAGTATGAGTATGTGCTAGATGGGTACCGCGACTTCTTACAGCAGAACATTTAACAAAATGGATGGAATTGTCAAATCAATTTATTAAAAAAGTTTCTCGTGGTGGCATACGATTTATTGACGGAATAATTACAACCGACGAAAGCTGGTTTCATTGCTACGATCCGGAAACGAAACAACAGTCAAGTCAGTGGAAAAACTGTAACTCACCGCCACCAAAGAAGGCAAAGATAACCAAATCAATGGGATAGAATATGTTCATTCTCTTCATGGACCGAAAAGGAAAGTTACTGACACATGATGTACCCCGTGGCCGGACTGTTAATTCTGAATACTACTCCAAGGTATTTAACATAATATTTGCTTTTAAAAATAATGAATGATCTTATATTAATAATTAAAACCTAAATAAAATGAAATAAACAGTTTAAGAAGGTGTTTATCAAAGAATAAAAAATAAATTATCAATCTTATTTTAATTTAGATGCAATACGATTAAAAGTCCGTTTATTTTGTACTTTCAGGTACTGAGGCGAGATTTGGTTCAAGCTTTGAGAAAGGAACGCCCTTATTTAGCAGCCAACATAGAGCAAGTGATATTACACCAAGACAATGCACCGGCCCACACTTCTCTAAAAACCCATCTAGAAATTGATTTACCTGGATTCGAATGTCTGAAACATCCTCCGTATAGCCCTGACTTAGCGCCAATGGATTTTGCGGTATTTCCGCATATCAAATCTTTTCTCCGTGGACAAAGGTTCGACGATTTACCTGAACTAAGACAGGAAGTAATGAACATAATCTTAAAAATGAAAACAGAACAGTTTGAGAAAATATTTGATGACTGGTTAAAAAGATGTAAAAATGTGTTACTTTGAAAGGAGACTACGTTGAGAAAAGTTAAAATGTTGACGTCGTGGAACGTCTGAACGTCGGAAATATTTGTTTGGGTGCTCCGGGTGAGAGTTTCTTATGATTTTTAAATTGATGAAAATACGATTATTTAAGCAGGTACTGAAATAAAATTTCGTACACTTAATCAGTAAATCATGAAATTAGTTATATACTTGTTTTATCTATTTCGGACGGGTAAATAATATTTTATTGAGATTGTCCTCAAACTTTACGGACAACCTCGTACAGACGTCATACAGATAGAGGGTATGAAAAAGCCTTTGTTACCGTGGCTGATATCGATATCACGATTGTCATAAATTGAATTTTACATACAATTTACTTGTATGTATACTACTAATTATATCATAAAATGTGTAACGTTGGTTTTTCCGTTTGAATGGTTTACACTAGTAATTTTTTGGGGCCCTTAATAGCTTGCTGTTCGGTGTGATCCAATGCTCCGTGTTGAAGGCCGTACCTTGACCTATAATGGTTTACTTTTATAAATTGTAACTTGGATTGAGAGTTTTCTCATTGGCACTCATACCACATCTTCCTATATCAATGTATTGTTTATATTTATAATTTTCAGATACTGAGCGATGGTAATTATCTTTAATTAGTCATCGAATGAATAAAGTGCCAAAAAAAATGAATTTTTCCAGATCAGGTAAACATTATACTGTATTAACTATTCATATTAAATGTTCAAATATCGTGTGTGTGTTTGTGTGTGTGTGTCTGTGTCTTACTTACATTGAAGTAAAATAAATGTACATGATAAACCTTAAATACAGGATTTCTATTTATCGTTCTACGTATCTTCATTTGTCTCTCTTATTTGTATAAAATTATTGCCATATATCTTAATATAAAAAATAAGGAAACGTGGTATGATTGCTAATGAGACAATTATTCACCAAGACCAAATGTAATGGATGTAAGCAACTACAGGTCACCGTTTGGTTTTTATTAATGAGCAAATCCCATACCTTACAGTCAGCTATATGTTATGAAGGAAAAGGGGGGAGGGACCGCTGCTGTGTCGAATTGTCTCCCCTTTCCCTCCAAAACTTTAATAACTAGACTTAACTAAATAACGAGGGACGGACATCCTTCGCTTAGGGTCTATTCACGTCTTCGTTCATTTTGGGATTCTAGCTTCTTGCAGGATTCTGACTGTGACCTGTGGAATTGTAGCTGGGACATAGGGTCATATTTTCTCTCGATGATCTGGGGAATACTAGCATCTATTCGGAAATCTGGGTAATTTAGCTCACTCATTTCTGGTCTATGTTATGCCATCAGCTGGCATGTCCATCTTCTCGGACACTTGTACTTTTGAGGCCTGGTGCTGGTGAATAAAATACAATGATGTTTTAATTATTTATTCCAAACAGCAATCTAGATTAAAGTGTGATATGTGATGTTGGGAGTTTGCGGTCTTCCCGTTTTAAACCCAACATCACGTGCTGGTTGGAACTATTTTAGTCATCTATGAAATTTCAGCGTCAATTTTGAATTTTCTTAAGCTACTTTTTATTGGTCAACTATTCTTTTTTGTATGTAAAAGATTTATATGATTGACATATATTTTATTTAGTTATGTAAAAGCAATTAATGGATTATCAAAATCTTTTACTTAATTTACAGAATTATTTTAGTGGACAATAGAAACACTTTAGGATTATTTTCCTACGGGCAAATTACAAACATTTTTATTCTTTAAGAAGATGACAGTTTATTTAATTTATTTCTCAACGTCACATTAATAGCTATGATCAAAAGAACTCTAGAAATGATATTAACTATATTATTACCAAAAGACGAAACTATTTATAACTTAATCTTACGTCACCTATTTTGTCTCAAAACTTTAGCAATACAATACAATTCAAGTTTATTTATTTATTCGTTTATTTATCTAAGTTTACTATATTTTACTTTCATTTTCCAGCATACAATTTTCCATCATTATATATATAAGGCCCCAGCATGTGAAAAAGTCAAGCTAGAAAACCAACAGCCTTATCTACGATAAAACATAAACGAAACACAAATAAAGCACACAACAAAAGACAGCCACTATATTACAGGCTCCTGACTTGGGACAGGCGCATTAAAAATAATGTTGGCAAGCACTCGACACTCACCGTTACCTGTGTATTAAAATAAGTTGAAATTTTAAAGGGATAGACTCTCCAGATCGACACGAAGCAAAACAAAACATATAAGGCACTAAAAAACGATCTAAAAGTACGGACAGTACTGAAAGCTAGTTAGAAGCCAATTTCAACTGACAAATACTAGATAACATCTATACATTAACGCGCACGCAGTAAAGACAGAACGCTATTCAAAATTTAATGCTGTAAGGTGAAAGAATCCTAAATTATATAATTTGTTTTCTGTTTCAGCAAAAAATGTGTGCATAGGTGTTGTAGTCTTTTTAATCAGCATATGGTTTCTATGGACTCTAAAAATAATAAAGAACTTTGAAATAGGAGACATGAAGATTGTTCATAAACAACCGCAAACTACATGGTCAAATACATCTAATTTTACCATATTATTTTACGCGTATCCTTCCTATTTTAACGCAAAGTACATTGTTTTTGATAAATGTGAATACACAAACTGTAAAGTTACTACAGACAAAACAGTATTTAACAAAAGTGACGCTGTTATCTTTCATCATAATGGAATGTCAACATCGCCTAACAAGTTAAATGGTCAAATATGGATATTTGCTTCTTTAGAGAGTCCATATCACACTTATAAAACATTTCGCAATGACCCATTTAAGATGAAATTTGATTGGACAATGACGTACCGAAAAGATTCCGAAGTGTTTGCACCGTACGGATTTGTGAGAAAACAACTTTACATTCCAAAAAAGAATTACACTTCTATATTCCTGAATAAAACAAGAAATATTGCCTGGGTCGTAAGCCACTGCCAAACTATATCAAAGCGAGAGCTTTATGTGAAGGAGTTATCGAAATTTATTGATGTTGATATATATGGAGCATGTGGGAAACCTTGCTCATCCACATCTGCAGAAGAGTGTAAAAAACTTTTAAGTAAAACGTACAAATTTTACTTGTCTTTTGAAAATTCATTGTGCAAAGACTATTTGACAGAAAAAATAACAACAATGTACATGCATAGTATGAATTTTATTCCAATCGTTCGAGGTGCACCTAATCCCGGAGATCATCTACCACAAAAGACATACATTTCAACGTCTGATTTTAAGTCCCCCCAGAATCTAGCGGCTTTTCTTAAAAAGATAGGTACCGATGAAACACGCTACATTTCATATTTGAAAGAAAAGAACAAATATTTGTTTCATACAGATCCAAATTTTCAGTCTGGAATGTGTGATATATGTTATCATTTAAATGTAAGACGACAAAAGCCAAAAACCAAAAATCTCACCAAATGGTTATGGGAAAATCAGTGCCAGGAACCAAAAGACATACCCTCTTGAACTATTGAATAAAGAACATATTCAAATTATTTATGAACGATACAAATAAGGCAATTCTTTGCAACCGGAATGGATATGGTTTTAAGTTTTTTACGTTTTATTGTCATTTAATTGCAATGTAATGTTTTAAAAGGGTTACTAGTAATATAAATAAGAAGATGTGGTATGAGTCCCAATGAGACAACTCTCCATCCAGGTCACAATGTATAAAAGAAATACTAGACAAAGCAGTAAAAGAACTCTTACAAAAACTGTTATAAAATGCCAACTTTGTTTTAGTAAAAAAAAGTACTAGTACCTGCAACTGACTGGATCACATGACTGATGTTAGTAGTTCTACTGAAAACATAAAAGTGTTACAAGTTGTTTATTTTGATTTCTTTTCTCTATGCGTTTGAACAAATGACTGTTATCTACATACAATATTCCCTACACTTGCATAACTTTGCCGAAACGTTTAAGGGGCCGGTAGATCTTGGGGTATGGGAGACAACACTTACAAATGTATTGGAAATCATTTGTGCGGTTTAACCTAGCAGTAATTCAAACGGTGATCAATTATTTAAATTGTTTAAATTTTAGTTGTGAGAATGATGCAGGAGCATCTAAGAAAATTAGATAAGTTAAGACTCCACTAAGCATTAAATTAAGGAGCCACATATTTTTTAAATTTCAAAAATCAATAGCTGAAGAGATAGAAAATTAACATTCATACATAAAATATCAACATCTACTCTTTCAATGGTGTGTATAAGAAACATTAAAAGAGATGAAAATTTTGGGGTGACCAAGGCCTATCCCCTTAATATATCAACAAATCTGGTAATAAAATGATTCATATAATTTTACTTCTTTAAATTAAAAACAAACACCTATTTGGAAAAATTTGAGCCACCATTTGTGGCGCTATTTGGGGTTTTTCGTCGTCATGCACAATTCTGTGGAAAATGTGTGATCCCCACCATCGCTTTTCGTCACAGTTGTTTTAAACAGATATGAAAGTAGAAATAAAATATTCAGTACTTTTGTGATTTAACTTTATACCACCACAAATGGAAGCACATTGTTTTCCAAGTAGATGTTTGTTTATGATTTAGAGGAGAAAAGCGAACTGCACTAACTGCATACAATATTGTTGTAAAATTAAGGGTATATTGTATTTTCTGTAGGATAGAAGCGCATAAAATAGGGTTATTTAAGAAATTAATAACATATTTATGCACATAGCTTGTGTGTTGTGACGATAAGATGTAATTGGGTTATTGTCTTAGGTAATAGATTAGTATTAATTAGTTAAATGAGCATGCATTTATTGTTGATCTTGCAACGTTTGAGAATTTTATTCAAGAATTAATTAATAAATTTGGATTATTATTTGCCACCTCTTCCCAAACCACTGCCCATTTTAGCTGTATATATGGTTGCAATTCGAAGTTTTTAAACAATTTATGTAAGGCAAGTTTTAATAAGATGTTTTTTATTTTGAGTCTTTCGCCAGTTTTTGTGAGAATTATTTTAAAGATTTATATTTTTTTATCTAATGTATTTTTCTTTTTCCATTTGTCATTTAAATAACATTGACGTTTTTATTGTTGATCTTGCAACGTTTGAGAATTTTATTCAAAGAATTACTGAATTCATTTGGACTAGTATTTTCCACCTCTTACTTTGTGATCCCAAACTTTGCTTTTCTTATTGTATCATACAATGTATGTTTCTTTTCAATTTTTTTCAACATGGACATTTTGTATGGGTCAAATTTTGTATCCCATCCTTTGCTTTTCATCATAGATGTTGTAAATAACTATGAATTTCAAAGTAGAAATAAACAAGCACCACAATTGGTCACTTACTTGGAAACATTTGTACCACCAATTGTGGTGCTTATTTATTTCTACTTTGAAATTCATAGTTATTTACAATATCTATGATGAAAAGCGAAGGTGGGGATAAAAAAATTTGACCCATACAAAATGTCCATGTTGAAACAAATTGAACAAAAATTGTTTACTAGTAGGTGTGATCACTTATTAATATTCATGAATAGACAATAGCCCCAATCACATATTATTGGTCACAACATACAGGCTCTGTGCTTCGCACAAATGTATAATTATTCATTTCTTTCGTAACCATATTTTATAAGGCATTACAAAAAAAACGTCACATCTATCCATTCGTATATTAGTATACTTGACCAATGTGCACTTCATTTTCGCAATTCTAAAGATTTCTTCATATAATCAATACAATGGACAAAATGAATTCACCCGAAATTGAGAAAAAATTAGCTTGCAGATTGAGAGTAGCTATTCATAAGTAGAATGATTTTTAGGTATTATCAGTTCGATTATTTCTAAAAGAAAAAAAAATGCGAGAAGATATAAAATAGACAATCAAAATTCAGAAATCGAGGAGACAAAATTATGGGGGTGAACTCAGCGCTCTTGAAAATAAGAAAAGGTCGTTAAGATGAAACGCACATTAAGTTCCCATAGGAATGCCTACAATCTGCTGGAAAATTCAACCTCTAAATTCAATAACTACAGTATATTGTCAATGGGAAACTCCAGCATACTGATAACTTGTTCTTCGGTGTAGCATGTTTTATGGGTTCGTTGTTAATAAATTAGGCCTAATTGCATCCCAGAACAATACATTTGTAGTGTATGATTCCCTTTTTATGGAGAAAAGCACTGTGGATTATTTTTTTGAACGGTTATTCAATTTTTCATGTTGTATGGTGGTGAAAAGGATAAAAAAAAATCAAAGGTTTTGATGGAATTCATTTTTAGAGAATTACCGAGAATTAAAATTTTCCAGAATTTCTGTTGCATTCTTAAGAATCCACATATGGTTAATGCCAACATGCGAGTAAACAGAAATACTGTATTTCTGTACTTCCTCTTTCACTGCTGATAAAACTTTGTTTATTCTAACGGACAATTCCTTGGTAAAACATGCAGATAAGCTGGCAATGTACCGTTATTTTTACGGAGTTTTGTAAAGTTAAGGTATCCAATACAAAGAAGGCAAGACCAAAGATTTGTTGCTTAATGGAATATTCAATGAGGCCGTGTACGACTTATTATTTGCCAAGATCTCATATTTATCGAAAGTTTGTGAACGTTGGTTGAATAACCCGAGCGTTCATCTTATCATAATTCTTTGATAAAATACTAGTTTTAACAGGATTTACAGACAGACACAACATTGTTTGAAGCTTTGTCCACAGTAACAACAACATACTTATCGTGGAGAGAGAATAGACATTTCACAACTTCTTTGTATCTGAAGACGGACTTAGGTCGGAATTTTCAGGGTTTTTCTTTCATTTTTGTATGACTTTGAGAGATGAACATTGACATAACTGTGTTTCTTTGTCATTCGATTATTACCTTGTGGTTTTAGCAATTCATATATGATATCTGGAAGTTAATTTGACCTCATTGTCTAACTCCGGAATTTTTACAGATTTCTGACAAAACAGTAACCTAGTTTTTACAAACCAGAATGTTTCTGGTATATAATACCTTCTAATGTTCCTAAACTACCTATGTATGAATTTAGCAGTAGCTAATACATAGGGCATATACCATGAAAGTAGTGACCACCAAGAGACTGTCACTCATCTTATTTTGGCTACTTTTCTCAGCTTTCCCTTTTTTATCCCCTATAAGGGCATTAAAGTTGTCATATTTTCACAACAACGCATCTGAAAAGAGTCTTTGGACCATGCATATTATTTGTAAGATTGAACTTCTGCTGTCAAAATAGTTCAATTGGGGGCTGTTCTTAAAATGTATGGACGGTCATATGGGCTTTAAAAGAATTCAATTGACCTTTTATTTATATAACTTGTTAGCTCACCTGGCCCGAAGGGCCAAGTGAGCTTTTCTCATTACTTGGCGGCCATCGTCCGTTGTCGTCGTCTGTTAACTTTTATAAATCAACAGCATCATTGAAATATCTAGTTTTAAAAATGTGTCCGATGACCCTACTTGTCAACCAACATGGCTGACATTACTAAAAATAGAACATAGTATTGATAAAATGCAAGCTTTGTCTGATATATTGAAAACCGTTATGAATGGAGAAAATCTGAAAGTGTCAAACATGTTCAAAATGATGAGATCTACATATTTGTTGTGTGTTATTGTCCTTAAATGACAAATTTTACTACGGTTTTGCATTTTTGTCTAATATCTTGACTTCAATAAAATATAGATGGAAACTTAAATGAGCAAACGTGATCAGCAAGACAAGATATCTACAAATAAATCACATGGTCGAATTAGTTCGATGACTCCTTATTGGAGTTACTGCTCTTGAATGACGATTTTTATCAGTTTTAGTGATTTTGCCTATTATCTTGAAAACTATAATTATTATAGATAAATAAACACTTTAAACAGCAAAATTGTTCAGCAAGTCAAGATCTATAAAGAAGCCTTATGGCAGAAATCGTTCGTCGACTATTGAAGCTATTGTCCTTTAACCCCTTCGCCCCCAATCCCGCCTGTAGTCGTAATGGCGACCACCATTCTTTGATGGCCTGTATGACCCTCCATATTTTTTTAGAACTGCCCAAGCTCAACTGTCTTTACAGCAGGGACTTCAACCATACAATTAATGGTCCATAAACTCTTCTCAGATGTGTGATTATGAAAATATGGCAACTTTAATTGCCTTTTTAGAGTGCAAAATCGGAAAAACGTGAAAAGTAGCCAAAATCAGGTGGGGTGGAAATATTTTTATGGCCACTACGTTACTGGTATGGGCTGTAAGTATCAACCAGTATCATAAATACATGCATAGATGGTACAGGAACACAAGGAGGTATAATATGGCCAAAAGAAATCTGGTCTCTAAAATCTAGGTCACCGTTTTGTCAGAAATCGGTAAAAACGGACATTTAGGCATACTTGGCTAGCAAATAATAATTCCCCAGCAAGATTCTCAAGTCACATTTACTTCCAGTCAGTATGGATAGACTGCTGTAAATGTAAGGTAATACTTGAATGACAAAGAAACACAGTTTAGTCATTGTTCACCTCTCAAGGTCGTATTAAAATAAAAAAATAGACTGAAAATGACCATTTTTCAGTAGGGGTGGGTTCAAACCCACCAGAAAATACAGATAGAAACTTTTCATAGAAAAAAAAAATCAGCAAGACAAGATCTACATATGAACCACAGTGGCTGAAACCATCAGTCAACTCTTTACCGGAGTTATTGCCTTTTAATGATAATTTTACCATTTTTGTTTTGCATGTTTGCCTATTATCTTTAAAACTGTAATAGATAAATAGAAAATTTTCAAAGGAAAATTGATAAACAGGATACGATCTATAAATATGTTAACA